ATTTCTTACATCTCCTTCTTGTCCCTACTTTTAGCTGAAATATCTTTAACTTTAGAATTGCAAGTTATATTTTAAAGATTATGGTCCTGGGTAATACTTTTTATGTAGAGCAGTTATGATCTCTCATCTAAATAAAACTCCTTAGCCCTCAAAACCAACTAATAATATTGTTAGTTTAACTCCTTGGTTTTGTTTGTTTGTTTTCACTGTAAGTAAGCTAAAAAGCAAATTGTTTCTGTAGCTATTTTACCACCTGCATAGGCACTCAGTTGGTAGTTTAAGTGGTACTTTACGAATGTATTTGGTATTTCATTTATTCCTTCAGGAAAGAATAACTAAACCTGTGGGTTAGCAAGAAGTTTTATTTTTTAACACTTGCAACTTTTTTTTTATTATAAAAACTCGCCTAACCACTGCTCACCTAACTTTTATGCCCATCTTTAATATCAGGAATAATAATTGTTTCCATTTGCAGTACTTACAGGGCTGTTGTGTTGTTTTCAGTCATTAACCTCTAAGAATTCCAACTATTTTTGACACTTAATACAGAAAATAGACACATTGGCATTTTTATTTCTCACATTTCGTAACTAGGAGACCTTCATAGAAATGTGAAGAGTAATGTTCAGTATTTTCTGCCAAAAAGTTTTCCTTACTGCTCTAAACAATTTGAAGAAAACTTGAGAAAGGGGGGCTTTCCTGTAGGATTTGTCATACCCCAGAATTCAGATGTGATATAGAAAATCTACAATGTGTAATTTTTTAGCCGTTCCTAAAATGAGCTGTGGGCTTCTGATTTTTATTTTTTTATAGAACACTTGAAAGCTCTGTTTTCTGTGCATACTGTCAGATCTCCGTCTATCACAAGCTGCATCAAAGTCCTTTCTCTACTTTAAGGTGGAAACTAAACTTATCAGAAACCTAATGTGTTGCTAATGTTATCAGCTGTTGCTGATAATCAGAAGAAAAGTTCCAAATTTGTATGTTCTTCCTATTAATGGCTTTAGGACAAACTTCATGAGCAGTCACTGAGTACCTACAAGGTGTTATATCATTAGCCTTGCCATGGTATATTCTAATTGTCATGGAATTTGGATGGGGTGCAGAATCAAGGCTTCAAGAGTGAACAAGGAGCTGGATTCAGTCCTCTTATACTTCCTTTTGGTTCCGTTCTCTTGTAGAGGAATGTTCTCTGCTAGTGGAGTCTACAGAGTGGATTTTTCATGGTATCATTTTAATCTCCAGTAGCTCACTAGCACTAGGCAGAGATGTTACTAGAATTTCTATGGGCTTTCCACCCCATCAGTTGCCATATTGCTTATCATGCTTTCTTCTTTTTAAGTGTGGAATCTGCCATTTCTTACATGTTATCTGTGTGAGTGTGAAAACATATCTACTATCTTCCCCCCAAGTGGTATGTAGGGGAGTTTCGTGGACCTAAAAGTGGTGGCTGAAGATGTCCCTTTCTTCCCTACCTGTCTAGGAGACAATAAAAACCTGCTTATCTTCACAAAAAAGATTTTTCTGTTCAAGCCAACGAGTTTAATTCTGAAACTCATTACATTCTGATATGTGCTGCTTTTATTCTTTAGATAATTTTACAAGATCTCTGAATTTCAAGTACAGTTTCTTATTCTTTGTGTTGTCAGCGACATTAAAAAGTGTAATATATTGAATTTTATGTCGGGAGATATATATATGGTTTGGGGTTTTTTTTATGTGCTTATTAATTGGTATTTAAGTGCTTCAAACTTGCAGAAGGGAACAAACACTATTGCCTGTATGCAAAAAGCCACAACTTTTGCTGCCCTGTCACATTAACCAAGACAACAGCCTATAAAAGTATAGTAAGTGTTTCTTCTCTATTGGGTTTTATAATTTTTTTAAAAGTTTGAATAATATATCCTCTAGAATGTATCAAAACAAAAAAAATCATAATACCATGCAATAGCATGTTAAAAGCTGTATGTTTTCTTTAGGTGTGCTTCTGCTTATTTTGATTTCATAAAGTAGAATAGAAAATACTATGTTATATCGTGTATAAATTGAGGTAGAAGGGGGGAAACTGGGTGCATCAGTAGGTTGGTCATGTGTGCCTGGTGATTAGCATCAGCTGAGGAAGGTTTTGTGTTTCCAGAAAGGTAAGGTTTCTGTTCCTAATGTGTTGAATATATTTCTTGCCTTAGTTATGTCGCATTCAAGCACTGTACACTAAAGATGTTTACAGTATGGGTTTTTAAAGTCATCTTTAACTGTACTGAAGGAGGTAATGTTACTGCAACCTACTTAGACATGAAAGTAACCATCAAGTCTTATTTTTTTAGTGTCTTGTTTCAAATTTGTGGATATATATTTTATATACAGTTCAAGAGATTTGGGTCTCTGTGGATGTTGTCCTTGTTACATGAACCTTTTATGGTGAAGTATTCTCAATGTGTGTATTATTCAAGTTTCAGAGGGTTAGCAACTTGTGAAAGGTATTAAAGCCTTCTGACTATAAACATCAAGTCAGTATTTATCATACACATTTAGAGAATTAATGGACCATTAGGACTTTACATCCCATTCAAATCTAGCAATCAGGTGGTCCAGAATTATGATTTTTGTGAAGAGTCAACCTGTTTCATAGCTCAAGTTTATTACGCAACATTCTCACTCACAGCTGTCTTGGTGAAGACATAGTGGTATTGGAAAACCACCTAGTATATCTTCTAGCCATTAGTGTAGTTTTTCATACATTCATTGAATAGATTTCTCAGGAATGGCTTTTCCTGGCTTTTTTTTTTTTTTTTTTTTTTGTCAGACCAAGAGGAATTTTTCCGATTGCTTTTCAGGGTTCTTGCATTTCCAAAATCCATATTAATATTATGCAGAAGAATAGGCTGAGACTTTGTTTTTTCTGTAGTGTTAATTATACTCCTTATTGTATCTGATTTTGCAGTAGAAATAATGTTAGTGGGACTTCATGATATTTAATTTCGTGTCAGTGCTACCATACAGGTGCTTATATCAGTGTGCTGTCAAGACATGGTGTTAACTAGTATTGTTCTACAACGTACAAAGGAAAAAAGTATGCTAGTAATAATTTCATAGCAGTACTGACACTGTATGTGGGAATTCCTACTTGTAATTGTATTTTCTGTCTGATTTTATTAGTATCTGCAAAAGTTACTATCTCCATTTAAAACTATTAGTGATTTACAGTTTAATCTTGGTGAATGATTAACAAAAATTTAGTTAAGGTTTCAGAAAGAAGGTATGGATAAATGTTTAACTGATAAGTTTTCAGAATAGAGAATTGAAAAGTCAGTGAAATAGTCAATTTGTCCTGTAATGGGTCTTACAGAATAATTTTGCAGTTTTTAACTTCTTCACTGAAATGTTTCGTAACAATACAGGCTGCAAATGTACCTTCTATTAATGACCTCTGTTAATTCATAGATATTTAGTAAGAAGGTAATGAGTACATTAAAGCTTTTTAATGGATGTTTCTATAGTTTCTATATTCAGGTGATGTGATACACAAGAAACTCACACTGGATCTTGTGTAGCATTTAAGTCCTGACTGAGTGCAGAACTGTTTTATAGTTGTTGAAAGAATAGAAATGTAAACAAAAATCTGTTGATATCACTGAGTGGTGTTCAGATGAAAACAGATAGCATCTATTTTAATTTTGCTGAGGCTAGATGAAAGTCCAGTGTCAAACACAGAAATTGCTTTTTCACACTTTTTAAAGGGATGGCTGTAAAGCAAAACCGTATTTAAATTGCTGTACTCGAAAGAATTTGGCTTATGCGTAGACTAAGAAATGCTGGTTCACGTTTACGTTCACTGAAGTGCATTAACAGTTCAGACTGACTTTAGTTTACTGCATTATGACATTCTGTAATAGAGCAGAGTTAAAGAAATAAAATGTGTATTGTTTCAACAGCCAAATCACAGAAGTTCTGCTGGTGTTATTAGTTGTATTTGCGTACTTTATCTTGACAGGCTTACCTTTAATGAATGTCCCTGTGCTAATGACTTCTGAGTTCTGTTGCTGTGACAAGCCTTTCTCTTAACTGATCACTTTGTTTACAATTTGGTTAGAAATTAGTAACTTTTTTTTTTAAGAATTCTGTTGTGCATGCATGACTTTCTCAGACATCTGTGTGACCTGGTTTTACTTTTTGTGAGTGTAAAATATAGCACAGATCTAGAAGTAATTCTAAAACTCTGCTATTGGATTTCTGGCTATCTGGGTAAATCTAGGACTGTCTAAACTTGACAGGTATTTCAAAACATGGAATTATTTCAAAGGTTCTATAAATAAAAAAAAAGTCAGAAAGTATGGGTGATAGTAAAATAACACTGGCAAAATTTTGGGAAGTTTTAACAGGGGTGGTAGCTGTTGAGAGAGATGCTGTGCGGAGCATTCCTATGGCATAATGCTGCATAAATTGCCTTGACAATCGGTGTGTGGGCTGGTTTTCCAAATGTTCAGGAAAACAGAAAAATTGAGTTCGTTGCTTGCAAGGCAGCACGATTTATGTCTGATAGCTACTGCTGAACTAAGAGGAGTTAGGTGTGGGTTCGTACCCAAACTCAGAAGTAGTCTTAACTAGATGCTCAGTGGGAAGTGAAACTTAAAACATCTTTGCCCCGTTGATTGCTTGTTCTGCCCAAAATTCTTGAGCAATATTCTTCCTGCTTTTGACATTTCTCTGCCAAAGAAACGATTGCCACTAGATATCAGTGTCCAGTATTATGTCTGTATCGAGCTTCATGTTCTCAGTTGTGTGGCCAACTTCATAATTTAGAAACCACGTGAATGTTGCATTAGAACTATGTAATGAAATAATTTGTAAATAATGTCTTTGATACCTGGGGTATTTAAAGGGAGATTTTTCATAGTAATTTAAGATTTTTAAAATCATAATTACATTTGAAAAGATGAAAGTTTCTGGTTTAAATTGTTGATTTTTTTTTTATTTTTTTTTATTTCCCTCTGTAGCTATGTAGGAAACCTCTCCAGAGATGTGACTGAAGTTCTTATACTTCAGTTATTCAGCCAGATTGGACCATGCAAAAGCTGTAAAATGATAACAGAGGTAAGGCTTTCCACCTCCAGGGGGGTGGCAAATATAATGTAACTTAAGATAAAGTTCTGGAAAATAAATGGAGTTGGGGGCTTCTTTTCACATTACTGGCAGTGTGGCTTTTTAGGTTGTGTTTGGCTTTTGGGGTAACTTTTCGCAGAAGAGACTTGTTGTTGTGTATGGTCCTGTACTTTTGCCTGTAGCCCTGACATACCTTTTACCAGCTGATGAGATTCCACTTTATTGAAAGGATTATCACCCCCTCTTTTCAGAACCACGTTGTTCAGATGATCAGAAGCCTTATTGTTTCAAGTGTTATTCGTGGCTATTTTGTACATTTTTCACTTTATTTGAACGTGAGCCTCAGTAATTCTTCTCCCTCTTGAATAAATGCTGCTTCACTGTGGATGAAAAGGAAAAAATTCTTCAAAATAAGTTTTGCTCTTCCTGAGCCCCTTCCAGGCCAGTTCGAATAGCTCTTGTCTGCACCTGTCTGTTCTTATTTTATTTTTTTTGTTGAAACAAAGTAACAGAATTTCCATAGTATTCCAGATAAGGTCTTTTGTACAAACTGTTGGTAAGTATTAATACTTTCTTCACTCCCTTGTAAATACTCTGATACATTTAGAGTTGTTAGCCATTCCTCTGATCTTGTTGACACATGCTAAGCAACTTCTCACTCCCTTATATTTTTCCTTCTGCGTTTATAACTGATAAACTTCGAGCAGGCAGGGACTAATCAGACCTTTTGCTAGGTTTAATCTTTGATTCTTCAACTCTGGTTTCCTGTATGCTCTTACTTTTACTGCTTATTATGGTTCATCCTAACTGGTAATTACAGATTTCCTGAGTACAGTCACATTATTTTTTTGTCAAGCTTGTTAATGAAAGTATTAAAAGACAAGTCTTGTGACCAGACTTCTTTAGGAACACTACTAGTAATTCCTCTGTGATCTTCTTTTCCTTTCAACATGACACACTGCTTTTTTGGTTTTTAGCTGCTTGTTATCCACGTGATGTTTGTTTAGTCACTCTCATCTTTGTCTTAACTAGTACTTTCCCGTGTGGCACTTTATTAAAACTTTTTGGTGAAGAACTCTGCCACATTTTCTCTAAGCTTATTGGAGGAAGATAACTAAACAGAAGGATAACAGAGTACATTTGTAAGTTTTTCTCTGAAGAAACAATTTTTGTTGTAATATGCTCTTTAGAAATAAGGTACTGCTTTTCCAGCCTTTGGCTAATTGAATGTTGCATCAGTTTGATTTCTTGAGAACTAGTTGAGAAGTTCCAACACTCATTTTACCTTGATTTATGGTTTTAAGATTTTACATAACCATAGAAATAACAAGGGAGACGTCTTTATGAAATAAGTGGATAAACAGAAAGCTACTTGCAGCTATGTTCAGTCATAGGGAGGTGAACGCACTCGGCTGACCTTAGCACCTGTCACCGAGCAGTCAGCAAGTGCAGGTTGGCTTCTAGACTGGAACTGGCCTGCAGCTACAGCGCTTTTAACCGTCAAAGTACCTGTCTGTATTGTCCATCCTTCTAGTCAGTGTCTTATGAACTTTCCATAGGCCCTAAGTTACCTGTAGGTAGTTCTTGCCTGTTCGTTGTTGCTACCCCCATCAGTCAAGTTTACACCTGAATGCTTTCCTTTTGTGTTTTTTTTTCTTTTTTTTTTTCTTTAGGCAGGTTTATCAACTGTTTGCTCACTCTTTCTCATTTGTAGACTATGTGACATGAACACTAGAGATTTCAGGTGTTTATTTTGGGGACATATAATACTCGGGGTGGTGTGACTAGCATTTACAGGTATCTTGAACAACTAAAGTTCTGGGCATCTGCAAAAGAGGCTCTTCTCATGTTCAGACAAGTTCTTAGTGTGAAATAAGACCATCCCACAATCTAAAAGTAAAATTGCACTTCAGTTGAAGTATAAACTGCACTGAATCTGTTAAGGCCCTAAATGGGTTTCCCAAATCTTATTTTCATTGCAGGAGGAAAGTACTACAGGAAGAGAGGTGAATTAAGGATTACTGTTTCGGGGCATCTGGGCTGAATGTGCTTTTGGAGCACTTCATGGCTCTTGGGATATAAACTTCTTTTTATTATTATTTTAATATCAGGTATATTTTTCTCTCTTCTGTTCATTTTGCATCAGTTAGAGACACCCAGTACTGATGGTGTTTAGAAGGATGGCTTTGGATTACTTGATCATTTTAGGTATATAAAGGTCTTGTGATCAGTTCAGCTGTTAGATCTTAATAGCTTCTCTTGTTCAGGTGTAGACAGAACTATGTTTGAAAATGTCCAGTCCAGTTCTGTGGGGCAGAATTAGAATTTCTTTGTCCATATAGGCATACAAGAATTATCAGAAGTTAAATAGTAAAACTGGTAAAGTTTACTCTGTTCTTACCTGGTGTTAGAGCTATGCTCTATCTGACACTGGGGGAGGTTGATATGGAAGAATACCGATGCCAGTCCATTTTCTTTACATGCTAGACACTTTCCTGTCCATGCAAGAAATAATTTGTTTAGTTTAGTATTGGTGTTTATCGTCTTCTGGTCCATGTACATGCAGGGTAGTAAATTGAGATGTTTTGGTGTAAGGCTCTAGTTTTTGTACTCAGCATCTTTTAGACATAACATCCAATGTTCAAGTTAGCATTCTAATCATAATTTCCACTTGATCAACTTTTCAGAAAACTTTTACATTCTTTGCACTCAATACTCTGGTACATTTAATACTTCAGTGAGCTTTGTTTGTCAGTATTTTTAAGGGTGACTTGATAGGCCATCCTACAAAAGTTGGGTTATACTCAAGATTTAACAGAGCAGCAATCAGTTGATTAGTATCTTTCCCCCCAGTCAGACTATTTTGAGTCCTTTTAAAGGGGTATTTCCCAGATGCTGGGTGTAACATTTTTCTCTTGAGATTGAGAATATGCAGCTCCTAGGTTACTGTCTGCTAGTGATTTTCAAGTAAATAAAAGTAAAGACTTCTTCAGTAGGAGGAGAGAGAAAATTGGTGAAAATTTATCTGGGGAGCAAACCTTTCAAGATTTGAGCATATATATGAGGCAGAACACCATTTTCGTTCTTCTCTCCATTCTTCCCCTTTTTTTCCCCCCCTTTCCATCTAGTCTGCAGATCACTTTTTCTGGTAGCTGAATTATTTTTAGTTTAGTAAACTTAAGATACTAAGCCCTCATACAAAGTAAACTATACTTCAGAAATTGATAGACCTTTAAGAAGAAGTCCATCCCAGTAATTCTTGCATTTAAGTGTAATATCAAAGGCTATTTCATAAATTAATGCAAATCATTCTTAAAGTTTCTAGCTATAAGTAATATATTTTCCTGGATTTTCTTCTCAGCAACCCGATAGCAGAAGGGTCAACTCTTCTGTTGGATTTTCTGTTTTGCAGCATACAAGCAATGACCCTTATTGCTTTGTGGAATTTTATGAACACAGAGATGCAGCTGCTGCATTAGCTGCTATGAATGGGAGAAAAATTTTGGGAAAGGTAAGTTGCTTTCTTTGTAGTCTTAGATTTAAGGAAAGTAGGTTTGTGTAAAAAAATATTAATAAAACCATGGGGTGTTGATTTTCTTGAAGATGTTTACGAAGGTTAAGTATTGTTAGAATTATATGTTTAAAATACTGATTTTAAGGAAGTCAGTCTTGTTTAGGAAATGTATTGTCTGTGGTGTTCAATTCCTACAGTGCTTTATATTGAATGATGATTTGTAAACATTGAGAGTTGTAACTCACCCTTGAATGAACTTGTAAAATGTAAGAATTTTGTGAATTTATACTAAATCTTATACTTATTTTCAGGAGGTCAAAGTAAACTGGGCAACAACACCAAGTAGCCAGAAAAAAGATACATCCAGTAAGTAAAGTAATGCCACAGTATCACTTCTACACAAATACTTCAGAAAGTGGTAATAATTTGTCATAAATGCATTGAAACATAACTTTTCTCCTTCCCATCTTGTGTTTAATAGAATTTTGCAAACTAATTCTTCTGTTTCTGGTTTACAACTGGGGAAACTGGAGTGGACAGATTAAATTGCTGCTGCTCATCAAATGGAATCCTGGGCGTTCCTGATTCCCAGTGCTGTGTGCAGAGCATCACTTTCTCAGGAGTTGAAATTTTAGATAGCAGTTAAATATTTGATTAGTAAATTATTTATTTTCAGATCACTTCCATGTGTTCGTTGGGGATTTAAGTCCAGAAATAACAACAGAAGACATCAAGTCAGCATTTGCTCCTTTTGGTAAAATATCGTAAGTATCATGATAAACATTTCCAATATCAGTTAGAAAAAATGACAGTGAAAATTTGTTTCTGAGTTGAAATGTTATTTCTTGTCTTTAGATAATTTTTCTGATGTTGATTTCCTTATGTTGGGTGGGCAGTAGGGAGGGGTTGTTGTTTCATCTCGGTATGTCTCATGATTGTAAATACAGTAATGTAATTGTGTGCTGGTTTTGCTGAAAGCAATGTGCTTTTAACCTAATTTATATGCTAATGTCCTTCAACTTTTTCTTAAAATTTAATTACTGTTCCAAAGTGTGACTTTTTGTTGTTCAGAATGTGTACAGAATAGTGACAAGTGGTATATGTTGCGTCCTGGGTGTATTTCGTATGCATTCATATTGAGTTTTATAGGCAGTACAGAAAACCGGGCAATTAGAATATGATTTTATGAAGAAGCTAGTTGAATAACTTACGAACATTTTGAAAAAAGCTAATATTTATGAGAATGAAATCTGCTTTCTTAGATGATAATGGGATGAATTAAAATTACAATATTTAAATGAAAGAATGGTGGATTTACAATATGTGCACAATTCCGCCAGTTAAGATAATGTTTCTTTAAGCTTCTAATAGATCATTCAGGTGATACCAAATCACCTGCTGTTTTAATTGAACATATTTAACATTACAAGAATCTTTGAGTGCTGCTAAAGTGTGTATATCCTTAAGAGTACTGCTACAAAAAAGTCTGTTAAACTTCTATCAGTTTATACAAATCTTTCAAAGTTGCACATGAACGTTTTTGTACTACTTTACAGGACTATATTTCTAAGAACAAAATTCTTATTTTTCTCTTGTTCTGTACGCATATTTTTAAATGAATCATAAATTTTATTTCTTACCTCTGCTATTTTGTTTACTTTGCTTTTTGTCTCTTAATGTGGTAAGTAGTACTGTTTAAAAATCGATTTAAAGAGAATAATTCAGGTTTTCTGTTTCTCGATCTATATTTATACCTGAGACCTGCAGTTTTTCTAAAGTCCAAGTCACAATTAAAAGTAATAGCATTCTGGTTATTTTGCAGAATTGCTCATAAGAATGGACAGGATCTTGAAGGCTAACTGCAAGGAACTGTGCACACTGGAACTCAGTTGTAGATTTTTTCTCATTTCTATTTATTCTTATTATACATTATTTATATATACATATTTTAGTATTTACATTTTAACATTCTATATTCAGTGCAGTTCTATATTTCCAATCATTTTAACTTACTCACTAAAATTTCTGTGTAAATTTGTTGTTTTCGTACTGGTGTGCTTAGCATTGTTGTTAGTTTTATTCTCCTTTCTTAAATTTCTGAAAATGTCAATTTTTCAAAATTTACAGCTACCCAAACTCCAAAATGATGGTAGAGAATTGACCAAGAAAAATAAAGAAATCTGTTAACAGGCCATGTATGCCTTTTAATTCCTATTTTTTCCTCTTTTTCGATTTTTTTAATATTTCATATATTTTGTATCACTAGGCAGAAGACATTTAACTATTTAGAAAATGCATGGTAAATTAGATAGAATTGTTACAGTAATTTATAGAACAGTAAACCTTAGAGGACCCTAGCCAATAGAATATTAGAAAAGGAAACTTTGTTTCTCTTATACTTCAAATTTGAGCATTCTAGTTTTAGCAAGTATAGGTTATGTGGATAGGTTGCATGTTTATTACATGTTATTTTTTTTGTCCTACTGCTTTTTTCTAACAGGTAAAGAAGCAATAGGGAGAGTTCAGGAATGACTGTAGTTCTAGGGCTAACTGAATTTATAAGAAAAATTATGCTCACAATACAGTGTGTGTGGTTCCTTTTAGTTTTTATTTTGCAGGTTATTAATATTACCCTCATATAGCTGTGCTTCTTTTCACAGGGACGCACGGGTAGTTAAAGATATGGCAACTGGAAAGTCAAAAGGCTATGGTTTTGTATCTTTTTATAACAAACTGGTGAGTAATCACTATGTAGATTTAAAATAATTGCCTTTTTTCCACTTCTGGTTTTGCCTCTTGTTTATGTATTCACCATGTATCAGACTTTCCCAAGGGAAATAAATTTGCGTGTACGGGACAGATTTATGTTAGTCAAAATCTTCCATTATTTATGGTTAAGGGTTGAAACAGTTTAGATTACAGCAATGCTATGAGAACATTGTGAAAGAAGATTCCTGAACATGGAAGGCTTGTTTGGGTGTGTTCGGGTAGGTCAGCTTAGTCTGTCCTAAGTGAGTTGGGTGCCTGCTCCAATCAGCACTGCTTTGGGTCTCTTAGCTGAGGCCCTGCACCAGGTCCAGCGCAGTTTTGTGTGTTAAGGTAGGAGCCCCTGCAAAATGGCATCCTGGAGTCCTCAGTCCTAAGGAGTCCAGTGCCACGCTACGCAGCAGGGTTTGGCATTTGCCAGGTTTAGGTTCATGCCAAAGCTCAGTCTTTCTGGGGACCTAATACAGCCAAGTGTGTTGTACTCTGAAGTATGGCTGGATTTATTTGCTTGAGCTCTGCATCTCAGTAAAGCTCTTGGTTGGTCCTTTGCTTGAGTTGTTAGAACATTTTGAAATCTAAAATGGTTTGTTGTATTGTGCTAAGAGTTGATTCTGTACTTCTAAAGCATTTTGCTTATGCATATTGTGAAACTGAATGTTCTTGGTTTTGTTGGATGGTGTTACCTAATGGATAATGTTCTGTACGCTTAGGTAAAAATGCTTCTGACAAGTGACTAGTATCTGTGTCTGATACAGATATTAAGGATGTTATTTGTAGAATTTAATCAGTGTAGTACTGATAAAAATAGTGCTATGCCCTGCCATTTATAGGAATACAGTTGACTCAACAAATAATTCTTGGTGATTTGGAAGTTACATAAATGTTTGACAGCATAAGAAATCCATGAAAATTATTTGGAAAATTGCACTTTATGTATTTAGAGATATGTTTAGGAGAACATAGGGAAACTCTGTAAACCTTTTTCTTTAAGTATTTTAAGCACAGGATTTTAGGCATATGAGCCTCTTTGTATGGTCAGAAGTCCTACATGTCAAGACTCTTTTTGTATCCTCTGTAACAGCTGGAGCTGAATCTTAATCAGAAGAAAAAATTGGAATTTATTTTTTTCAGATTTGAAAATGCCCTAAGATATTGTAATTGAATGCTGTGATTTAAGTGTATTTTTCCACTTCATTTATTTTGTGTTGCAGCTAAAATAGACAAGAGGAATAGATGTCTTATTTTCCTTGTGCCCCTCTTCTCTTATCCTATGGTTGTGTTTGGTTTCTGTGACTGTAGGGGAAATGTAACAGTCGCATGGAATGCAAGTTACTGGATTCTTTTAAGACTGAGCCAGAAAAACTCCAATTTAGAATCCATATTAATTCTACAAAATTAATGGATGAATTCTAAATGTAATACTAAAAAGTACTTGTAAAATGCATGTCTTGATTGCTGTTCATTCAAACAGCAGCTGCTACTATAGGGTTGTGGCACAACCGTTCTGAGCTGGTAGTTTTAAGGCCTGTTTTTCGGAATTTACTGTCATCTTACTAGGTTTGGGGAACTGGGATATGTTCCCAGTTTGTAACTTACTATGTTTTGGGAGTGAGGGTGCTTGAGTAAGTTTTTTGTTGTCTGGTGTTTTGTTTGTTTGTCTCTCCCACCCCTTTACTGGTCGTCTCTTGTAATTTAATTTTTTGTGTGTATGTATTGTCTTCCAAATGAGCGCTCTGTAATTAGAACTTCGGAGGATGAAGGTCCTGAGTGATTTGAGTTTCAGACAAGTCTACTAGAGGTGGGAGCCTTCAGTGCGAGGCAGGACAATGATAGCTGCTCACTGTTAACTTGTCCGTGTGTTCTATTTGTCCCTTGTGCTTGGCGTTCTTTCTTAAGCTTTGTGCCCTTGGAAAAGCATTTCAAACATATGTACTATTTGCTCTGCCTTCTCTTCTTTCAAAGCGGCTAGGGGAGAAATTGCTTCTTGCAAGTGTTAGCAAACTTACCCCTTGCTTGCTAGATGTTTCTGCTTACAGTGTGAACTCAAAAGATAGTCTTGCAATTCATGCTCAAGATAAAAAGTTAAGCCACATGGCCCATGGACTGAGAGTGACTTTAATAGAGAACCTACAGAGTTGTCATGCATGCCTCCAGAGGGCAGAAGAGAGGATGGGACAGGGGAGTGTGCAAATAATAAAGAAGAGGAAACTTCGATGCTCAATCTATTTTTGTCGCGGCATTGCAGTTTCTTAGTAACTACCATTCAGCCTTCCCAGAACTTAAGATTTTTCTACCTAAACTTGACCTAGTATTTTGAGTGCATATTAAGATTCTGAAAAAACACGTTCAGCTCTTAGTATACAATGTCTTTTGCAAACAAATACTGCATGGTATAAATGTTATTTGGGTTACATCTGAGAAATCTTTCAGTGTCCAGTGAGGGATTTTGATTATTAAAAAGTCTTTCCTGACTTTACATCCACTACTCAATATGCTTTTGTGTATTGTATTTCTAATAAGTCAATTAGCAAAATAATATTATTTTTTATATAATTAAAATTACAGTTGTTTTATTTCAGTAATTGCTTCTGGCGTCTGTGTAATCTTTGTACTTTTTTGGGCAGCCTTCAAATATTCTAATGCAGAAGCTTGTTATGTAAAGTATGTGCAATTGCAGTTGGCTTCTAACCTGTGTGTAGAAAATGGGGGTGGGAGGAAGGTTTTACTAAATCATTTGCGCGGGCCTTATTTTATGTCATTTTTGGCTGCTTGCTCTGATTGTTCAGAATTACATATACTTTTTAGTACTTTTATTGGTTTTGTCAACAGAATTAACTGCCAACCAAGTCTTTCGTAGAAGTAGACTTGTACATATTTGTTATTTGGTTGTGTTACAATCCTTATTTTAATCTCTCCAGGATGCAGAAAATGCTATTGTACACATGGGAGGCCAGTGGTTGGGAGGCCGTCAGATCAGAACTAACTGGGCAACACGGAAGCCACCAGCACCCAAAAGTACACAAGAAAGTAAGACCTTCATGTAATGCTGTGTTGTGTTTGCCCTCTTGCATGTCACTGCTCAATAAAGATACGAAACATAATGTTGCCAAAATCATGTCACTTAATTACATGTCTAGATCTTAAAGAATAGATTTTTTTGGTATATTATATCTGCCAGATCTTAAATAATAGATTTTTTTGGTATATTATATGAATGTCGTGGTGGCACTAGTGGTCTATCATAAAATATCAAATGTGTTTGTTAAAGGTATAATTCGTACTTGCGTATGAGGTAAGTATATGGGACTCTGGGTACTGTTAGCCTACTGCTTAAAAACAAGCTTCTCTCTTATAGATAATACAAAACAATTGAGATTTGAAGATGTAGTAAATCAGTCAAGTCCAAAAAATTGTACTGTGTACTGTGGAGGAATTGCCTCTGGGCTAACAGGTACGATTTGTTTTATTGCTTTTTTATTATTGAAGCTTTTTGGACACCGACATGGTTACTAATACAAAAACATTCTGTATTGTAGATCAACTTATGAGACAGACTTTTTCACCATTTGGACAGATTATGGAAATAAGGGTGTTCCCAGAAAAAGGTTACTCATTTGTCAGGTATGGGCAAAGAAAAATAAAATCTGCTATTTTGTTCCTGTAGTAATGTTTCATCTTTCTGTAATTTCACTTGATTGAACTTCTGCTGATAGATTAAAAGCTGTAACCATATGTTCATAGAAAAATTTGGAACTTTTAATAGTGGCCACCAATCTTTTTACCTGAGAAGATGACTATCTTTGAAAGCAGGTCTTTTTCTCTGAATTTCCGATATGTATGGAGTCACTGTTTTTTGACAATGAGGTGAAAGTACAATATAGCGTGACATTCATCTTTTTTTTTTACATTCTTTAGATTTTCAACCCATGAAAGCGCAGCACATGCTATTGTTTCAGTTAATGGAACCACAATTGAAGGACATGTTGTTAAATGTTATTGGGGTAAAGAATCCCCTGATATGACAAAAAACTTCCAACAGGTAACTACACTTCAACCTTTTCATTGTATCACAAAAGCAATTGTGTATATATCCATAATGCCTTCCCAGTTATAATGGCTAAATTTTTTGGTAGTGTTCTTGCAAAATTCCATGTTCTGTCTCAGTTATGTTCCAGTTGTTCATCCAATTGGGCTAGTGATTTTGGTGGAATATCTGTTACAGTCTTCTGGATATGATTCAAGATAGGGAGAAACTTTGAGGTAATTCTGATTCTTGCTAGTTCACTAACTGCAGACTAGGTGACTATCCAACCAAATACTCTTTGGTATTTCAAACACACAAAAATACCTTTTACAGTACAAGGATCTACTTAAGTCACAGTGATGTCTTATTTATTTTTCTGATCTCGTTATTGCTTGTTTTAGCCCTGCGTTTGATACAGCCAAAAATTTAGCCTTCGGCAGCACAAAAGGAACATAATCCATCTCTAGAACCTGAAGTGCAATGAATTATTCTCTCCTTAGGTGGATTACAGTCAGTGGGGGCAATGGAGCCAAGTATATGGAAATCCACAACAGTACGGGCAATATATGGCTAATGGGTGGCAAGTACCTTCATATGGAATGTATGGCCAAGCATGGAATCAGCAGGGTTTTGGAGTAGAGTGAGTAATTGTATTTAATTTTTAGAATATTCCAAGAATGTTACATCTGAGTATCAGGCTCATTTGGTTCAAGGACTGCACAAGGTTTCAAGCCTTAGGTGGACTCCTACATGCTTAAAGCTTGAATTTAATTATTATCATGGACAAAATAATGGACTCACTCTGGCTTGTTACTGGATCACACATTTTATGTGTATGGCTGTTTTGAGACTGACGGCAAAAAGACCTTCTCTGCAGTAGAGTTTTGGATGGTGGTCTTGTCTGCTGTCTGAAAGTTTTCTGGATTGTGACTTGAGGTGGTAAATACGAGAGGGTCTGAGCCAGGGAGCCCAGGTATTGGTCTAAAGGGTTCATAACCCTGGAGAAAGGAAACTACATACTGACATTTTAACTTGTGCAGTTTCAGAATTTGGGTGGACTTTTAATACTTGATCTCTTGAAGACTGAAGTCTTTACAACAACTTTTCGTTTTAACTTTAAAAATAACTTCTTTGTTTTCGTCATTCTTCATTATCTCTTGCCAATTAAACATATGAAGCCTTGATAAACCTTTCATTGGTATTCATGCTAATTAGGCATTGGGAGTTTTTTGCATTTCTGCATCACTGATGTTGACTTACAGAGACCTGCGTATGTACATGCCTTTGGAGGCAGTTGTCCTATGCAACTAGTACCCAAGGTTTGTGGGGCTTTTTTTTTTCTTTGTTCTTAAAAAGCTTATGATATTTTAAAGAATTACATGGTGTAGCACATAACCTGGATTACTCATTAGAAGAAGAAATTGTTCTATTTTGGGATGAATTGTAGTGTAGGAAGTATGGTTTTTATTATTATTATTTTTTAGTCTGTTGTCTTGTAAATACCTTGACTAGCTTGCATGATTTTTTTTTTTTCCTTTCCTTTTTTTAACCATTCTGTTTCTTTTTAAGCCAATCTCCATCTGCTGCCTGGATGGGTGGATTTGGTGCTCAACCTGCCCAGGGACAAGGTGCTCCTGTAATACCTAACCAAGCTGGATATGGTATGGCAAGCTACCAAACACAGTGAGCTGGGACTCTGTTTAAAAGTGTGTATTTCATGATAGGCTGCAGTTTCCAGTGACATTCTGAAGACTGGAATGTAGACAATGAAAAAAGAAAATATTTATTTTAAAAATGGAAATGTTTGGAACTTCTAGCACAGCTTTGCTTTGGTGAAGGACACAAATGTCTTCTAGTTCTGCCTTTTAAAGTTTTTGTTCATGATGGATATGAACATGTTTTTCTTTGTGTACAAAAATTAAAAATAAAGTCAATAAAGACAATTCTGACTACAAATTTTGATATAGTAGGAGAAACGGCTATTGGATTTGATCTTTAGGTTACCATTCCACTTTTTTGTTCTGTCTTCAGTGTTTTATATCACTGTGCTTTTTAAGAGACATGACGTTGAAAAACAGCAAGTTTTCCCATCCTGAAATAAGCTGTGGACCAATCATTACAACCTGCTAGACAGTATTGATTTTTCAAGAAACCTATGGGCATAGCTCAGAAAGTATATGTAGGTCTTGGAATAATTTTAAAACAAAATACTTAATTTTGTACATGCTTAAAGAAAACAGTCTGATAGAAAGAAGAGTTCAGTCTAAAATGAAAAACAGTACTGTCTGAGTAATTTCACGTAACTTTTACTGTCCACATTCAGGCACACACTAAAACATTTCAGAGTAGGTTTGCTTATTAAGGCTGTAGTAATTTGCATTTAATTTTGAGAAATAAAAACGTTTTTGCAAGTATGTTATTTGTATTCAAATCAGACAGTCATACTTGTGCTTTTACATAAAGTTTGAAGGCTACACATTGTAAATATTTCATAATTACAGTGTTTCAAAAGCATGCTCAAACATAGAAGTAGCAATGTAATTATTCAGAGTAATACTTAATATACTCTACTGCTTTAAATGCAGTAGATTGACAAGAATGTGCAAGACTGACATTTCCAAAGTTGGCTATTATGTAAAGTTACATAAAGAACTATAACAAAGAGCCTTAATTTTAATTTCATAAATCTTTAATGCATCACCTTTTTGTCATTAGAAATACGAATTTTTTGCTTTACATTGTTTGGTATGTAAATACCTTGGTTAACAACCTTGTAAACCTATTTCAAGGTTATTATAAGTTGTATAGTATCTTGAGTGTTTTGAAAAATTTGATGTTTTTTAAGTCTAGAAATATTTTGCCCAAGAATTTTTTAACAAGATTGTTACAAACATCTTATTTTAGAGAATATTCAATGTGCCATTTGGTAAACGGAGATGCAGTTGAAACAGTACACCGAGTTGTGATATTTTTAATCAAAGTTTTTGTCTTTATGGGTGGTTTGCATGTGATGAACCTGTACAGAGGCTGGGTTGTTTGTGTACTGAGTGTGTAAATGGATAAATCATGAAGATGTTTAAATGGTATACTTGGGTTATTTCTGAATTATTTTATGGATACATTGATACAAACTGCCTCAATAAATTTGAAGTTGAAAATGAATGTAAGTTAGATATAAGTACTGTGTCTTACCTGTGACAGCTAGGGGGTGCAAATGTTTCAGCTGTATACAAAATACACTGAGGCAGGCACAATTAAGAAAAAAAAAGAAAAGTAGTATTTGCAGTGATAGTTCAGTGAAGCAAACTTGCATTTTAAAAGAAATTGAATGTTTGAATTTAGAGATGATAGTTCTAAATGAGTGTCTGAGAAGCTGCATATTTTATCTTTTCTGTTTCTTACCATGCAGGTGTGGCGAGTTAAATAGATTCTGAAATGAAGACTTGCAGTTTTGTTAAACCCAGCCAGGTTGTGCAAATAACTACACTTAATGCTGTAGCAAATCACATGAGTTTTCTTCCTCCTCTTCTACTTGACATGCTTAATAGTACCTTGACTTACAGATCGGGTTGAAAGTGAGGTATACTGGAGGAGCAATTTAGTCAGTTGGCTCAACTGTACCCAGAGATACTTGTAACTCTGGGCGTCTAATGCATGCAATAATGACTGAAGTTAGTGTGGAACCATAAGTGCTTGTGATGACAGAATTGGCCCTTTATCTCTGTTTCTCCTTTATGGTATACATAGTGTTTTTCTGCTCAAGTTAGGAATCTTGTCTACAGCTGTTTTTCTATAAATTTTGTATATATGTGTATATCTACGCGAGGATCGGCCTATACATTGTAGTTTGGACAAAAAAATCACAAGTGTGCATTTTTGTTACACTTATCCAGTTTAAAAAAAAAAAATCTTGAGTCAGTAGATATACGAGTTGCAAGTTACTTCAGTATTTCACAGACTTCACTTGAAATCTGGGGTTTCTACATAATTCTAGCTAGGTGTTTGACATATGACATGTTCTGGATGCATGCTGGTATGTAAGCAGTATGTTCTTTAGGCACTACTGAAGATTTAGATGATGCAAATACATTGCCACATATATACCCATATAAATGGGTGTAAGATTAAGGCAGTGATCTTTCAGGTCTCAGTGTGTAGATCACCTTAAATCTGATTATTTAATATGCCTGCTGTAGAGCTGGGCCATACCTGACCTGTATTTCAGGGTGAAAGATAGGATATACTGTCTCATTTAAGTCTTTTGTCATTGATTTTTATACAGCTTTTCTTGAATGGTGATATTTCTTCGCAGACTGCTCAAGATCTGGGAGTCTCCAGTGTCCTTTTAATATTTCTAAAGCACTGCGAGGACGAGTTGTAATTTGGATTGCTTTCTACTCAGTAGCATTCATAAACACATCACTGACAGTTTCTTGGCACCAAAGAGCCTCTTGCACCATACTGCTTTTATGAGTGACTGTTAACACCATTGTAATTTCTCTAACTACAGAAATCAACCTCCACCTAACCCCTTACCACTAGGATGTGGATTTCAAAAAGTATTGATTTATCACGGCTTAAGTTGATGCGTGCAACCTGAAGCAAGGTTGTAATCTGCATTTGCAGATAATGTTCAATAAAAGTGAAACATGATAAAGGGCTTTTCCTGTATTGTCATCTGTCAAAATATTGTCCCTCTTTGTAAAACTGACAACAGACATATAAAGGCTGCATTTGTAAACTATGCACTTGCAATCATGTAAAAAGATGTTTTATTTAAAATTTTTCATAGAAAACCATTTTGTATTTTGCAGAGTTGCAGTAATAAGGCTGTAAATCTAAGGTTACATGTAGCTTTTCATCAGTCCTGCCTCCTTGTGTATATTTGTTAACAGTTTTCAGATGTACTCTTCCTGCAGAACCTTCTTCCTTACTAAGATAATTTCACGAGACACCTATTCACTGTATCAGAACTATCTCCTTTGTTTCACTTGCCGAAAAAGTCTCACAGTGAATAAGGTGTAGTTTTGCAGAAAATTAGTGATTTGTTTTTCTTGTGTTTGTACACAAGGAAGCAGACTTAAACTGTATGGACATGATTAGTGTCTGATACTTCTCAATTATCTGACTGTTCTTGAACAAGTGCACAAGTCTTTGTTTTAATCACGTCGAACTGTTTCCTGGTCAGCAATAAAAGATTTTATTGCACTGTTCTTACATTGCAAGATACAGGCAATCTTTATTCAGTATACTTCAAAAAATGGATGGGGTTTGTAAAGAACTGCTTTGTTCCAACTTGAATCTTCATATATAGATACAGTTTGGGATCTGGATTGCTGTGGTAATAGCAAAAGGAAGTTGTTCTTTTTGAAACCAAGTTAGAATTTATTTGTTATGATCATATGTGGTGCCTGTTAAACAGTAGTAGATTTAAGGGTTTCACTCTGTAATAATGTTTCTGTTCCTAAAAAGGCAACTGCAAGGCAATAGCTGCTGGGAAGGTCTCTGTTGTGTTTCATTTTAACCAACTTTGGTGAATCCAGTTGATTGTTTAAAAAAAAGAAAAATTAAAAAAATATTAGTGGTTTTCAGTATCACATGGGTAAAATCCACCCCCCACCTTTACCATCTCTTCAAATCAAAGAAAATGTTTACTGAATGTTTTACTTGAAAAAGAAACAGGACTTTATGTTGATGAGTGAACACTGATTCTGTCATCTTTCAGGGGATGTATGTTGAGCTAGATCATGGATGTGAATGACATGCTCTGCTCACTGACATTTACAGGGTAATGACTCAAAGTTAATTTGACATCAGTAATGATTATTTGAACACAAGTTATTCTTGCTTAAGTACACAGCCACTTGTGCTTTGATTAAAGCTGATCTGAATCCTCTTGGTTATTAAAGTATTCCTCATATGCTGTGGGAAGAAACATTGCTTTACCTTGTATCTTTGTACTCAAGCTGTCAATAAGACATCAGTGTTGCACAGATGATATTTTTTTGTTTAGAAGAAAAACACTTCATGGAGTTGTCAGGGAATTCGGTGTAAAATGACTTTTCTATGGTGATGGCTGATAACATTTGAATACTTCCCTTTGAAAACATGGGATCAGTCGCTGTTCTTTGCATGAACCCAGGTTCTCACTGATCCCAGATACTCGGCAGCTGTCTTTCCCAGTCATTTGCAGGGAAGGGAGGAGGAGGAAAAGGATATAAACAGTGAGACTAGGTGGTAGGGATGCCAGACTGCTGTGCATGATGCAGCAGCATCAGTGCCACGTCATATTGTCAGACACATTTAAAATAATGACAGGTTTACACAGATACCACAGCAGTATCCAAAGGATTGTGACCATTCAGACACAAACTTGCTTTGTCTCCTTGCTTAAAATAACGTTGCTTTAAAATTAAAAAAATAGAAAACGCATAAACTTGGGTCATTTTCTTTTTGGCTTCTGAGAAGACAGATGCACATAAAACTACCAAGCTAGACTACCTAAGTTGACTAAAAAAAAATAAAGAAAACTTAAAGGGGCAGATTGCATTAAGTGTCTGAATTGGTAGACCATTGCTTAGTTTAGATCTCTTAGCTTGGCATTCTGTTGTTTGCCTGTATTGACCCTTTTGTTTGTATAATTGGAGTAGTTTGAGATACGTACAGCTGCTTGTTGAATGTCTTCCCATTCTTTAGATGTATAATTTCTGGAGCAGGGATGGGTAGGAACTGAGTAAGAATCACAAGCCTACCACATGAAACACTGAATAATGCTTACATTTCTTAGACGGAAATTGACTTATTTAGAGACAACTCTGTAGAAAGTTTAAATATCACAGGTGATGATGAAAAGCTGCCATCCTCCATTGAGTGGTGAGTTCTTTGACCTTATTAAGTGGATAATTGTTGGTGGGGTGCTGTTCCATGAAAAATGCTCTTTGTGGTTTATTTGGTCC